TTTCTTGAAGCGGAATATATCAACCAAGTGTGTTTCCCCCCCCCCAGCAATTTGTCACTGTAGGAAAAAAAATGGTTCCGTTTTTATGAATAACAGGCAGAACACCAGAAAATTACCACGGCATGAAATGATAAATAAAGCACCGAATAAGAAATCTATTCGTACGAAGTGAGATGAAGAAACAGGGAAACACTTTTTACTCTTGCAGAGCAACTTCTGAGATTGTCCTAGTAAAATCGTTTGAACATTGCACGACAGGCAGGCAGGCTCAAACGAATAAGCATGTACAAGCGTACGCAAAAACACACTTTCATATATATATATATATATATATATATATATATATATATATCAGTCAGTTATTTGCCATGCGTGATACACGCTTAGGTGATCATGTATCTTTTGATACAGGACTGACTAGGCAAATTTTTTCCCGCAGTGGATTGGCATTGCTTTATGAGGTAGACCAGTTTCCATCTAAGGCTATAGAACCCGGTCTGTCCTGCTATTTACCCATAGCTAGGAGGGGAAGAAGAAGAGGATTCATAACTTTCCAAAGGGTATTAGCACGTAAGTGAATGTAATGGATATAAGAGACCCGGATATAAGAGAAACCCGGATATAAGAGAGATTTTCTCTGGTCCCAAATTAGAGCCAGCGTTAATGTATATGAAATAGACCAAACCCGGATATAAGAGACTTCTACTCCGGTCCCGACAACTCTCTTATATCTGGGTTATGCATATACAATTTACACACACAGACACACACACACGCATATATATTTTAATAAGGTCATCCAGATACAGACCTGTTTCGCTGTATCACAGCTTCTCAGTGTGGCTAGACTTCCGATTGCTTCAAGCCGAGATCGAAACCCTGCCAATTTGGCATCAGTTGGAGATTCTACCTGTAAGCTATCAGCGTCCGGAAGAGAGAAGGTGACATTCTAACGTATTATATGTATATGTAAACATTACCCTCACTTATATATTATACACAAACATACATATATCTTACACACTCTCACACACACATATATATATATATATATATATATATATATTACACGCACACACAGACACACACACATATATATGTATCACACATACACGCGCATATATAACTTGCAGAAACGCACACATAAAAATTATATGTATATCACGGACATACAAATATATATATCGCGCAAATATATATGAAACACAGACACACATATACATTACACACATATATATTTATATTACACACACACGCACACATATATAAATTACTCACACACATAGGCACACACACTCATATACACATGTATATTACATACACACGCACACATATATTACACACACGCACACATATATATTATAAACACACGCGCACGCAAATATATTACACACAGTTATATATATTACACACATATATATCTTACACAAAAACATACACATATACCTTTCAAAACACGTGCACATATTACTTACAAAAAATACATTCACATTACAGACACACCTATATATATATATTACACACAAACATACATATATATTACACACACACACACACACACACACACATATATATATATATATATATATATGACACTGACACGCGCGCACACACACACACACATATATATATATATGCAGATATATATATATATATATCTTACACGAACACACACATATATATCTTACACACACGCACACACACACACACATATATATATATATATATATATATATATATATAAATATAAATACACTCATATATACACACACGCACAGATTCGTATATATATATATATATATATATATATATATATATATATATATATATATATATATATATATATATACACCTTTATATATATATATATATATATATATATATATATATATATATATATATATTATTACACATGTACATTGCACACACATACATATATATTACACACCTGCGCGCACACACATGCACATTGTAGTACTAGCTGTGATTGTATGTGTAAGATCGAAGAAATTTGACCCTGGGCAACATCCTTCTCAATTAGCTTGTCGACTGAGATGTCGTTGCCTTAGGTAGAAATTAGAGAACACAAATTTAACGTAACGAACTGAAATTTGTGTGGGGAGCGTATACGAAATAATGACTGATAAAGTGTGTAAGATATCTATCTATCTATCTATCTATCTATCTATCTATCTATCTATATATATATATATATATATATATATATAAACATAAAGACGCAGTAAAAGAGGGGGTCATCTTTAGCAGTCGTCAAATTCGAGAGGAATGAATTTTAATGCTAACATTGCAGATCCGGCACACACTGTCATTTTCCAGACTTTCCTCTTCAGAATACGTAGGAAAATGAAACAACTATCCTTTGGGAGACAGAAGGTGTCCCATCCAGCGATGTCAAATCAGCGGGTTTCAATCCCGGCTTGAAGCAATCGGATGTCTAACTACACTGATGAGCTGTGATACAGTGAAACAGTCTGTCTGTGGATGACTATTTATGCTCTCGAAATAATTCGAAAGAAGGGGTGATTTTATAAATAGTGGCCGCTGCTGCTAATGCAATGCTCTTCTACTCGAATCGAGATCTCCTATCCTGACGTCTTTCGCATAGTAAAAACGTTAAAGTTTCCCCACCGCTCAGCAGTGCGACGATAGCTTGGGGGTAGAATCACTGACTGACGCCAAATCGGTCGCGTTTCAATCCTGGCTTGAAGCAATTGTATGTCTAACCAGGCTGTTGTCTGTGTATGACTATATATATATATATATATATATATATATATATATATATATATATATATATATATATATACATACACACACTACACAACAAAATTACCTCATATGAGTATAGATCTATTTTGGACAACGCGAAGTACGTCGGACTTATTCAACCCCGGCAGATACTCAATGTATTTATTTTAACAGAGCATATAAATTACACAACAAAATCCAAAATTACCTCATATGGGTATAGATCTATTTCATCCAATGTGGTTGAATGAAACCGACGTACTTCGGGTTGGCAAAAATAGATCTATACCCATATAACGTCATTTGGGATTTGGCTGTGTAATTTATATGTCCTGTTAAAATAAATAGATTGACGTCTTTTTGTGCATCAGTTTTAATTATTAGGACACACTTGGATTATATACCAACGTATTTATACACACACACTTTTATTAGGATATACTTGGATTATATACCAATGTATATATATATATATATATATATATATATATATATATATATATATATAGATGGTTGGATAGATGTGAGTTTGTGACCCTGGGTTTCACGCTTTAGCGATCGTCGGACAAACCCAATAAGTACCCCAAAATTTCTAATAAGTACCGCGCATATAATATATAAATAATTATACATATATATATTTATTTATATTTATATACACTTTTCACACACACACACACACACACACACACACACACACACACACACACACACACATATATATATATATAATAAAATACATACATTGATCGCTTTTTGTGAATCAGTTTTCATATTTTATTAGGATTCACTTGGATTATATACCAACGTATTTATTACCTGTATATATATATATATATATATATATATATATATATGAAGGAATATAATCTTAAGGTGTGTTATATTTATGCTCAATATCACAAATAGAGCGTGTGTAAATATAAATATAAAAGTGAACATAGAAGTCAACACTCAGAGGCGACAGGCTGTTTCAAAACGGAATGTTGCTTATGGACCTTGTGACACGTAGTGCATCAGATCTCTGTATTCGGCACTTCAAAAGGTGTGGTTGCTACTGGACAAACCCTTTACCACTATACCGACAAACAGACACCAGTACATATGATTTGATATGTTTTTGTATCTGGCTGTCGGTTCCTGGGAACTAAATTGCTGACCGTCATACGTCGAATACGACGGGAGAGTTCAACACCATCGGGCCAATCCTAATTGTTTTATTTCCTTCTACGCAGAACTTTTTCACTGCCAGTTCAAGGAACATATTAGTGCCACTAACACACAAAAAAGAGAATGCCTAATATCGAAAATGTTCAACATCGAAAAACATAAGAAAAATTAATTCCTTTTAATAATATGCCGAAATATCTGCTTTTGCCTGATGAAGGTCGCGAGACTGGAAACCCGTGTAGAAAAATTATGGAAAATAAAGCATAATATATTAAAAAAAATGCACATTACAACCAAAAACTTCTTTTTAATATATACAAATAAAGCATTATATATTTAAAAAAAATGCACATTACAACCAAAAACTTTTTAATATATACACTTTTCTCTCGTTAGAACAACTATAAAGTCTTCCATATATATATATATATATATATATATATATATATATATATATATATATATATAGAGAGAGAGATAGAGTGACAGAAAGAGAGAGAATTAATACAAATTTAAAGTTTGTCACCTCGCCAATTGGTGTTACCTTCAGCACCCCAAATATATATCTCGTAGACGGACCCTCCAGCAATCACTGTATCCACTCGTCAGATGTATCAGCAATTGAATGATTATATTTATCGTTTTTTTTTCTTTTATATATGCACCTTTCATTGGTGCAAGGTCGATTTTTTCCCTTTCATAGTGAGTGAGTGTGTGCGTGTTGTGCGCACGCCCGTTTATGCGTGTGTGCTCGAGCTTATGTGCATTTTTTCGTCGCCGTTAGCACAAATGAGTTTCATGCAACATGCCATCGCCAGGTGATGAGTGCAAACTTCAAATCTATATACATGTTGGTGTATCCAGACGACTTCGGCGCATGAGGATCCGTCAACCTTATTCAGTTTTCATTTTTGAGTCGTATGTGACACTTCATTCCCTCTAGTGACCTGCATACAAGCCCGCATATTGTGAAACAGTGAGGATCCACGGAACATAGCAACAGGAATATTTGATGAGGAATCCAGTCGGTCAGCACAATTGATTACAAAATTTCTGATACC